CGGGGTTCCCCCCGAGCCCCGCTGCGGGTAACCCCGTGTGGGTGGAGAATCTGGTTTCCACACGTTTTAAAGTGGAAGTTTGGGCTCGTGTTGGGGACCCCGGGATCCTTGAACAAATACTTCGTATTGTGTGTTTTTTAAGCTAAAACGTAGCCTTTTTACGTAGCAGGCGTTGCTCTGAGCGCCTCACCTGTGGGAGCTTATTCTGCTTGTCTGTGCCTTTCGCTTTTTAAACACAAAGACGTTGAGAGACTTGAGCGACGTGCACCTGCTGACGCTGGTGACGTCGTACGCGTGCGTCCTGCGTCTCTGACAGACCAGGGACATACCTTAGCTCACAGTACAGAGTAACTGAAGACTCTTGCTTTGCATTTGGTTATCTGCATAGTTGGGATGCTGTCTATGAGCGAGAACTGCGCACTTTCCAGGAGTATGGAGACGCAGGAGAAATCTGGTGAGTTAACGGGAACAGTGTAAGTGGATGTAGAAGAGCCTGTGTGCGTGTGTGCGCATCTTTATCTTTTAAGTGTGTCTCCCAGAGGAAGGTGGCCTGAAAATCTTGGCGACCTTGAGTGATTCTGGCTTTAGCCGGTAGATTTAAAGAACTTTCTCTTTCAATGGCCCAGATTTATTTATTTATTTATTTATTTATTTATTTATTTATTTATTTATTTATTTATTTATAATATGTCTTTATAGATTTCAGAGAGAAGAAGGGAGAGAGAGAGAGAGAAACATCACTGATGAGTCATTGATCAGCTGCCTCCTGCAGGATGAAAAAGTCACTGGGGATCGAGCCCGCAACCCAGGCATGTGCCATGACCAGGAATCGAACTGTGATATCCTGGATCCTTTGCGCTGAGCCACGCCCAGCCGGGCTAATGGCCTAGATTTAAATTTGATGATAGTGTTAGGAAATTACTCCTTTCCTATAATCGTCCTTCTTAAATAAACAGTAGAATTTCAAGCCATCGGTATGTACAAGTGTTAATGCTGATGTAGAGGAACATTAATAAGGACTATACTGATCTTACCTATGCTGTTCTACTTCTGGGTGTGATTTTTCCTAAATAATAGTAGAGATGAAGCTTAAGCAGTCACAGGTAGTACCTTTTACTTTAAAAAAGGGCTTAATTGAGCATGTTGAATAACTTGCTTTAATGGAATATAGTTGTAACCTTTGCTCTGTATCCCTCTGTTGTTTAACTGACTCTGTTTTCAATAGGTTTGGGGAAGAGAGTATGAATCGACTAGTAAGATGGATGCAGAAACACAAGATTCCATTGGATGCTTCAGTGCTTGATATTGGAACTGGAAATGGTGTTCTCCTGGTTGAACTTGTTGGTACTTTTAGTATTCATGTGTTAGCACCAAATTTTAAAATGAAATTTTAAAAACTTGCAATTGCAGATACTGATCATCTTAAAGTAGTAAAGAAATCATACCACTTATTTTGAGGAGTCACCTGGTACAAAAGGGAGGTTGCATGGATTGTGAGAAGGAGCTAAATGAGAAGCCAAGCGATCTGAGTCCTAGTCGTGGCCATCCCCGCTATGACCTTGACTTTGAGCAAACCACTTAATTTTTCTGGGCTTCAGTTCTTTCCTAAAGGTTGTTACTTGGTGATTTCTATTGGTTTCTTCTAGCTCAAAACTCCAGAAATCTATGTGTATAAAAGGAAGATGACTTTCTGCACTTTCAGTAGGACGTATATACCTTAGCTGAGCATATGGCTTGAAAAGAGCATCTTGTCCATGGAACCGCATTTGATACAGGTTCTGCTATTGGCTGTACCGTCAGTGTTCTGAGTCTCTGATGTGTCCATGCCATGCCCTGTGCTGTGAGGAAGGAAAAGACTAAGGCTTCTTCCTAGATGGTTTTACTGTCTTAATTTGTAAGGATATCATTTGAATTGTTGTGTTGTTCTAAGTTATGTGACCTTTTTTGGGGGATGCTTTCAAGATTTTTTTCTGTGTCTTAGTTTTTAGCAGTTTGCTTATAATGTGCTGGTGCTTGGATTTCTTTTTGCTTACCTAATTTGAGGTTCACTGAGCTTTTTGCATCTTAGAATATTTTTGATGTATATATGGTATATAATTTTAGATTGGTGTTTTTCTTTCATTGTCTTTGGCTTTCATCCTCTATGAGTTATCGTCGGCTGTCAGTCTTATTGCCTTCCAGTCTTTTGAAGGTAATTTTTCAGCCCACTCTTGCTCCCTGGATACTTCTGAGATTTTCCTGTTTTTGGTTTTCATGAGATAATGTTGTAGTATACTGGTTTTTGTTTTTTTTTGTTTTTAAATCGTGCCTTGGGATTTACAGAAATTACTGAATTTGTGGCTTGGGGTTCTTTGTTGATATTAAAAAAAAATTTTGCCTGGTCAGCATGGCTTAGTGGTTGAGTGTCCACCCATGAACTAGGAGATCACGGTTTAATTCCTGGTCAGGGCGCATGCCCGGGTTTGCTGCCTCGATCCCCAGTAGGGGGCGTGCTGGAGGCAGCTGATCAATGACTCTCATCATTGATGCTTCTCTCTCTCCCTCTCCCTTACGCTCTCTGAAATAAAATAAAAAAATTCTCATCCATATACCATTTTCTCTTCTGCCCCATTCTCATTTCTCTCCTCTTAAGATTCCTATTATGTAAATGTTAGATATTATACTTTGTGCTAAATTATATGTTTTTTCTTGTTTTTAATTTTCCATACTTTTGTCATCCTATACCTAACAGGTATTTTCTTCTGACCTTTCTTCCAATTCGCTTATTTCTTTGAGTTTAGTCTGCTGTCGGGCAGTGTCTTAAATTAATTGTTACATTTTTCATTTATTTGTTTGGTTCTTTGCTGTAGTTTTCAGTTATCTGTCAAAATCCTCCAAATTGTTATTTATTTCAGTTGTTTTAAAATCTGTTTCTTATTCTTTAATTTGGGTCTTCTGTGGGTCTTTTCCCAGTTTTTCTTCTGGTTTTGTCATTTATTGTATCCTTGGCTATCTGCTTATTTCTCACTGAGTCCAGAAATTTAACATGAAAATTATTGGAGATATTTTGAAGCTTCGGATGATTATTCTAGAAACCTAAAACATCAGTTCACGATTGTTTTAAGTTCTACTAGAGGAGTAACCAGGCACGGGCGAAGAGGGACTCGGTCAGAGTCAGTCGTTGGAATCGTTCTGTGTTCTGGGTCTGATAGGGAAGGCTTTGAGGAAAACCGCAGAAAGTATGGAGTGAGACAGCTCAGAGTAGGAGGTTGGCATCGAAGAAGGGTAGTAGCCTTTAAGATTAAAAATAAACATAATCAAAGGGAGCAAAATGCTCTGTGGAAGTAATCGGTGTGCGCTTGAGTTTAGATTAGGGCTCAGTCACTTCGTGTTGAAAAGTGTGGGTGAGCTGGTGGATAGTGTTGGAGTCAGTTACGTTTTGAAGAGAGTCGTCATCTAGTAAGTTGTGAGGAGCAGGAGGAACTTGGGCTGCACTGCACCTCGCACCTTCCTTTCTTGACAGCCTTTGATGTTCTCTCTGGCCGGGTGGGGCTAACATTCAGCATAGTTAGGCCACGGGGTGGAGCTCAGCAGCCATTATGCTTTGGCACAGGTGCCAGACGCCCTTAGATGGGCTCCGATGGCTAGTCAGTAGTTGGTGCTACATTTTTAGTCTCAAAACTCTTAAGTCCAATGAGCTTAATTTCACTTTTTGGCCCAACCTCGTAGGCTTTTGGTAAAGGTCTATTGGAATGTATGACATATTTCAAAAACAAAATATACTATGCAAGTGTTGAGTGTTAATCACATGGTTGTTGGAGTGTAGCATAATTTATAATTACACTGGAGGAACTTTTTAAATGAATAACATACTTCATGTGCATTTAATGTATTCATATAACTTAATTGTGTTAAGTAAAATTAATGACCGATTTATGTGTGAATTAGAGCGTATCAACATCAGAAATTAGTACTACATTTTTCTGCTTGAGTGCAGAAATATTACACATACAACTATTCTCATTATCTTTGAGAAAACAAATTTCCTTTTGAAAAGGAAATAAAATATTATAAAAGCAAATGAATTGTCACATTCTATAAATTTAAAATTTTAGTTTCTGTTTTGATTCTATAATAAAATGTAAACATTGTAGATTACTGGATGGCATATGTTACTTGATCTATTAAAAATAAATAAAACAGTCCCAGTCCTGAAGGAATATTATAATTCATAGGCATGACAGTATATTAAGACTTTTTAAAACTGAAGTATAGAATTCTCTGTCTCTAGGCAAAGTGTGGTTTCTCTGATGTTACTGGCATTGATTACTCTCCTTCAGCGATACAGCTTTCTGGGCGCATCATAGAGAAAGAAGGGTTATCTGACATTAAGTTGAAGGTAACTGTTATTTCTTTTACTATGATTTATTTTTATTTGTAATAAAATTTGTAAAATTTAAATGTTTCTAAAGCGTATCAGTCATAAACAACCCAAAAGGAAGCATTGTTAAGTAACTATTAAAATCTTTAGTCTGGTCAGCTGGGAGAGTTATTTCCTCCCTCTTGTGCAAGTGTGTTCATCCCTCCCCTTGTGTTTGCAAAACTCAAGTAATTCTGACTCTGAGTGAACTCGATTAAAAGTTGGAAATGCATCAAGTCGGATAATGCCACCAAAGATTACTTATTTTATTTTTTTTAAATTATTTTTTAAATATATCTTTATTGACTTCAGGGAGAGGGAAGGAGAGGGAGAGAGAGAGATAGAAACATCAATGATGAGAGAGTCATTTATCGAGCCCACAACCCGGACATGTGCCCGGACTGGGAATCGAACCCCGATCGCCTGGATCCTAGGTCGATGCTCAACCGCAGAGCCACTCCCGGCAGGGCCTTAGTTTATTTTTGTGTTCTGTGAGGAGGTGAGGTCTCTCGCTTTTATATTTCTAGTTAGGCATCTCCTGTGAGCTCTGGAATGATAGAAACACTGTGTATTTTATAGTCCCACTTGGATAGCTAATAGTCTCTCTGTCAGTCCAAAATGATCGTCTTGGCTTCCTTGAACCTGCATCCCCCAGGCCCCCTTCCCATCTCTTTAACGATACCACCATTCGTTTTCCGGTTGCACTAGCCCGAAACCCAAGGAGTGATCCTTGATTCCTCTCTTTCCTTTAAATTCTGTATTCAGTTCTGTTGGTTTTATCTTCAGAGCAAATCGGGAATGTAACCATTCCTTGGTCTTTCCCCTGCTCCCTCTCAAATCTGAGCCACCATCATTTCTTGCCTGGGCAACTGCAGGAGCCTCTTACTCGGCCTCCCCATGTCCACTCTGGCCACCCACCTGACTATAACCACAGGGCAGCCAGAGTGACCTTTTAAAATGCAAATCAGCGCTGGACTTCCTTGTTCCCCAGCCTCCAGGGGCTTCCCCCTGCGTCCAGAGTGGGTCTGAACCCTTCGCAGCCTTAAGGAGCCCTCGTGTCTGCCTCCTTCCCTCTTCATCACCATGCCGCAGTCCCGTTTCTGCCCCTGACACACGGCCAGTCTGTCCTCTCCAGCCGTCATCCCTGGCGCGCTCTGCCTATATGGCTCCCCCAGATCTTCGCTTGTTCCTCACTGCGATCTCTGCTCGGTGTCGCCTTCCTGGAGAGGCCTTTCCTGCCACCCTTTCTAAAGCACCTCTTGCCGTTCACTCCCTGTGTTCCTTCTGGTTTTATTTCCCTCACAGCACTTTATCTGACATTATTTGTTGAGCTTATTTATTGTTTGCCTCTCCCTGTAGGTATAGCCTTATACAGTTAACTTTCCTCTTTTGTTTCCTGTTATACTCCCAGGGCCTGAAAAATTCCTGCATTTAATAGGTGTCTACGAAAATGTTGAGTAAATATGTGTTTTCATACAGGCATTTTAGGTAGGAACTTCTCCAAACTCAGCTCTTGAGAGTGGCAGTCATGATTTTGCTTCAGGGATAGTCACTGCTTGGGTGCGAGGGAGGGGAAAGCCCACCTTCCAATGTATGCAAACAAAAGGTCCACACTTTATAGCTGAACAGTAGGGGAGTGTTGGATAACATGTTATTTATGATCACTTTTTAAGTTTGTATGAATAATCAGCTAATTGTGGAGTTACTTTTTCAAAGTAGTTTTCCAGAATTAAGTTTATTGGCAGGTTGCTTTGAGTGTTTCATGAAATTGGGTAGCTCACTGTTTCAGGTGCTTTTGTGCTGACAGTGGCTGTTGAAAATGAGATGCTGATGTATCACTTTCAGATTTTAAAGTGAGTGATATTTGTAAAGTTAAGTGATTAGTTGAAATAGCCGTTTAATTTTTTAAGCTTTATGTCATTCACTACATCCATTGGTTGCTTTGTAAGCTGCTGAGTCAAAGCAAGAGAACTTTTATTTACCTTTTTACTTTAGGTCTCACAACTTGTAACCTTAGCTAAAAATCATCTTATTTCTAGTGACCTGTTTGGGTTCCAGATAATTTTTGTCATTTTTAAGAGTACGTCAAAGCTCTGCTTTTCAGCAGAAATAACTGTGAGCTCCATTGTGTGCTGGTCTTATGAGGCAGTACACCTGGCTTTGATTTGTTTCCAAATTTGTAGAGATTTGGAATGTCCGGGAAACACTGTCGTCTATCGTCTCTCCTGCTAATCTTAGCTTTAATGATCTCGGAATGGAGCACATAAAAGTGAGCTATAAAGTTAAAATATGCTTATTACATGTAAAATGCCATCATAATGCATGGGTACTTTTATCTGTGACTTTTAAATTCAGTAAAGGTGGTGTTAACAGTTCTCACACAAGCATTGGTTTTCAATGTAGGTAGAAGACTTTCTGAATCTTTCCCCAGAGCTGTCTGGATTTCATATTTGTATTGACAAAGGGACTTTCGATGCCATAAGCCTCAATCCTGACAATGCAGCTGAGAAGAGAAAGCAGTACGTGGAATCTCTCTCCAGGGTGTTGGCAGTGAAAGGCTATTTTCTAATAACCTCGTGTAATTGGACCAAGGAAGAGCTGCTAAATGAATTCAGTGCAGGTAATGGGCTCTGTGTTGTTCGAATGCATGCTTTCCTCGGGGTTGTCCCCTTGGTGTTACAGTGTCTTACTTTCCTATTTGTGGGAATTGCTGCCTCTCTTCTCTGTTAATAACCTCGGCGATACTTCTAACTGTAGATGCAAAGCACAAAGAAGTAATATTAGTCGAGATCCAGAGTCCTGTCTAAAAATTTCCAAGAAATCCTGGCAGTTAAGCACTAAATTTATGAGCCTATAAACATCAAGTTCTTTATTTAAGCTGCATAACCTAGTACTTGGAAGCAGACAAACGAGGCACAGGTACTGTGCTCTGCCTTTAGCGCCTGGACGCCCCGCCACCAGCAGTCCCGCAGATGGAAGCAGCGTTTGTTAAAGTCTTACGTGATGAGAGTTTGATAATGTTATAGATGCGCTGTCTGTCTTTCTAGTGGTCATTTAGATGTTTAGGATTTGCCTTACTGTTCTCAGCAGATACGGAACAATTATTTTTAACATTGCCCAGAAATAAAATGTAGGGACTCAATAGTAGAAATACGGCCTGTTTGTTCTAAAGGAAATCTCTACCTTTTTCAAGATTTTTGGTGCCAAGACAGGATCCTCTTTTGCCCCATGAGCAAAGTATGACAGGTGCTGTGTCCACCAAGTGGGAATTTTGTGAGCCTCGAGAGTCGATACCTGTTTGCATGTAGCTTGCGCGCCCTGGCGCGCTGTCCCCGTGTCCTGGGGAAGGTCTTACCCGCACAGGCGTTTCTGGGAAGGTGCCCTGCGGGTCTGTAACTAGATACTTGCTTGTTTTTTCCTTAGCTTCCTTTCAGATTGGGATTTTTTTAAAAGATGGGAGGGATTTTCAGAGTGGAGTACTAATAAATGATAGGGCCCTAATTTGTGGCTAAGGTCTGAGCCTGAGCCGTCGCAGGCGGGGGAGCTGTTTCTGGCCGGGCTGCCGGCTCACCGGGGCGGTGTTCTTGGGAACGAGGGCGAGGCAGCGAAGAACACCACGCGCGTCCTTTGTGACTTGAGTCCTTTGCACGGTGGCTCCACAGGCTGTGTAATGACAACCTGAGTGTGAGGGGCCGGAATGTGAGCCTGCGGAAAACAAGAATTCCAGTGATTTCTCGTCTTTTACTTTATGCCATTAATTTTATTATCTCCCATGTTAAACGTGCTTCCTCTAGAACCGCTGAGACCCCGCATCAGCAGCCCCCCCTCCTCCTGAGGCTGGGCAGGGTCGGTAACTGTCAGTGACGCCGTGTGGACGAGGCCCTTGCCTGGCTCTGCATGCAGGTGTTCTCTGTCCCCCGACCACAGACAAAACAGATATTTGTCCTTGATAATGAGGAACAGACTTGAGCCTGGTAATGAGGGTTTAACAGTGTGTCTGTGCCTGAGAACTACTGTAAAGTCTTTAACTCACGCTCAGTTTTAGAGCAAAATACGAATTTAAATCAGTGAAATGTTACAACAGGAAATGTAAGAGAAATAATGACATACGACTGAAGACGTTTTAGGTGTGCCTCTCGGAGAGTTGTCTTTGCAGGTAGATAGGACGCTGACAGACACACCGCCATGGGCTCGTCACCGGCTTCTCAGGGTCGGCTCCCCCGGTCCCTTTGCTAGGGTAGAGCTTCCTTCCCCGGCCTTTACGGTTGTTTCCTTATTTGAAGTACTAGTGTTCATAGAACTGTTGAAGTGACTCTTGCGTTTTTCCTCCATAGCCTGACCTACATATAAACATTTTGTGTTGTCATTTGCTCTGGCGAGGATTTCTCGAAACATTTGCCAGATATTACATAGTCTGATTTGATGTCCAAAGAACTTGTCTTTCTTACAACTACTGAATTAAAAAAACCAACAACCCCAAGACCTATCTTACTACTAAAGTAATCCAGACTTGTTATGAAAAAAATTGAAAAATATTGAACCCAACACATAAGCATATAGATTAAAAGAATTGAAATAATTCGTTATCTGTCTCTGGAATACAACCACTTTTAATGTTTTGTTGTGTTATCTATTGAAACATAATAACTTCAGTTCTCTAGGGTCAGTCCAGGAAGTTAAAAGACTTGTCCTGGAAAATTCACAGACAGCTTCATTTTCTCGTGAAAATTTTTATTACTAAGTGGTAGAGCTGGGACTTGAACCCAGGACTTTTAAATACATGTTGTTATTTTTTTAACACCACATTATGCTACTTTGAAAGTTTCTAGTTTCTTGTCTTTGCAGACCCTTCATTAGTTCAGTTTGGGTTTTGATCTTTGGTTACAAACTTTTTTTTATTGTGGTAAAATACAGGGGTGGGCAGAAGTAGGTTAATAATAATAATACAAGAATAAGTAAAAATACAAGAATAAGCCGTTTTGTGTACTTACAACTGTAAACCTACTTTCGCTTGCCCCTGTATATATAACGTAAGACTTGCCATCTGATCATTTTAAGTGCACAGCTCAGTGGCATCAAGTACACCGACTGTGTGCAGCCATCGCCAGGACCATCTCCAGAACTTTTTCATCTTACAGACTCGCTTTTATTTCCACGATATTTAACCTTTCTGTATTAAGTTTTTGTATGTGTGGTGCAGATCAGTTGCATTACTGCATATAAAGCACTTAAAACAGTGCCTAACACCTGGTAAGAGCTCGACGCACGGTCGCTGCTTCCTGCGGGCAGGTGAAGCGGGCTGTAGGGGATGCGGGAGCGAGGGGATCGGCAGGACGCGCAGGAAACGGGGTGGATGGGAACAGAGCCTCTTTTCTGCAGTTTGTTTCCAGTCTCGCATGTTCCTTGTTGAGTGCGGAGTGTTTCGGGCGCACACACAGACACAGAGTAGAAGTGAAAAGTCAGTGAAACGCAGTCACGGTGCAGGCATTGGAATCACATAGTCCTGTAAAGGGTTTGAAAGTGTACTGTTAATACAAGCTTCTTTTAACTGGGATGTAATCCCTAATAAGAGTATTTGAATTTTGTCTGACAGGATTTGAATTTTTTGAAGAGTTGCCAACACCCAGGTTCAGCTTTGGAGGCAGATCTGGAAACAGCGTAGCCGCATTGGTTTTCCAAAAAACGTGAGACTTTTCATTGGATGAATTCAGATAGACTTTAAAGAAGCTCTCCATCCAAGTAAACCTGACGCAGAAAATGCAGGTGCAGATAAATGCTTAGTAAGTACACAGGATGCACACGGTGAACAGATACAAGAAATCATGGGCATGCAAGCGGTTGGGTGTTAGAGATCAACCAAAAATAATTTCAAGTGTTCTTTTGTATTTGACATGTAAATATTCTCCTTTTGATTAAAAACAATTTCCTGTACCTGCTGGAGAGTTAAAAACTTTAAAGCAGTAAATGAATTTATAGAAAGTGTGGATTCCTGACTTCTGTGCCTTGGTAAAGTGTAATTGACTACAACTCTGTATTAAGATTTCGAAGCTATCCCAGGGCTAGAATAATAACCAATTTTGGGTTGAACGGTGGTTTTTAAAAAAAATTATTTAATATCTGAGAAAATCCTCTAGCCTTCACGCATATAGTTAAACAAAATCAGGTTCAGTGTATCAGTTGGCCAGAAATATTAATTGAGCTTGTACTTTGTGGCCGATGGTATTTTACAGTGTGAGGGATACCTAGAAGGAAAGAACTAAGCGGTGCTGTTACAGGCTAGCACTATGTTACGTTATCTCGCTGAGTCCTGTCCCTGTTTCCATGTGTCCGCGCGGGAGGGGTCAAGACTGCTCTCTGGTGCTGACTCTAAGTCCCACCCTCTTCCCTGGGTTTCTGCCCAGTTTAGTGGGGAAGTAGGACGGTCCTGAGAAAATGCTGCTGGGAAGCCGGGCAGTTATTTTGGGAGCCCTGCAGCTCCTGCGATAGTGTTGACCTGCCCTGTGGTGTGACTAGTGGGCCGTCCTTCCCTTCTCACCCGCTCGCTCCGCCTCTCTGAGGACCGGCCCCCTGGGGACGGGCCTGTGTCCTCCTGTGGGTGGTGGGGTTGCGTTTGTGCATGTGTGTGAGCCCGAGGCATGTGGGGCAGGTGCTCCAGTTAGTGGCTGATTAGTAAGAGAAGCAATGTATTGAGATTTCTGAAAAGATAAGGTCTATTAATATTTAATGCTGTTTTGTATTTGGGCTAATATTTTAATAATGTAGTCATATACGTTTTTTAAAAAAGTAACATGCTATTTGATGATGTTGGGCCACAGAATGAGGAGAGTTGTGTGTGTCTGGCAGATGTGAACTGGTGACGAGGAAGTTGGGCATCACGTCCTTTCACTTTCCTTCAATTTTTGCCCTAGAGTGGGGGCAGCAGGGCTGTTTGATTTAGATCAACATTAATCAACCATTAAGATTCCTACCTGCCTTGCACAAGGTAACTGAAGACATTTACATAAACTTTAAACACAAATAACGTCTTTGAAAAGCTTGGGTTTTTAACATTTGAAAGATGAGACATTAAAATATATGTTTTTAAACTTTTAAACATATTGTGTTGATTTTACAGACTAGACATAGGATCTTACACCATAGACACATAGTTTTTAATTTAGTGAGGAGATCTGGTCCTTGTTGTTTTTTTCACATTACTATTCCTTGATTTCAGATGTGATAACAGTATCTAAGTACTTCCTTGGAATTTCGAGCTGTTATGTACATGCTCTTTTAAAGCACCAATCGAACAAAACAGGCTTTCTGTGCGACCAGAAGGAGACGCTGGGTTTGATTCACTAAGAGCTGGGAATGGGCCTTTGTTGAAAAGATCCTTGAGTGTATCACAGGGGTATGTTGATCTGTTTGCAGAGATGAAGGATTTGGGGAAATAATGGAGCTGTTGGTAAGGTTAGGAAAAGGGAGTTGTCATCTCTTCTTACCAGTTGAATCCCGCTGGAAACCAGCCTTCAGAGGTTGAAATCAGAACAAATAGAAGGTCCAAAAATACTAACAATAGATTAGTATTTTCAAATAATACCATGCTTTACACACCAGGCCAGTAAATGCCGCCGAGTTGCTGCAACAAGTCATAAATGCATTACTGTTAGACTTAGTTGCGTTAGATCACATGACTGTGTGGGTGACTGGGAAAGAAATGACGCAGTCAGAGCAGTGGGGTATGTAGTGAGCACTGTTTTCTCTGGACAAGAAGTTGGAATAGTAATTTATTTCATCAAAAGACTCTTATTTTGGGGAAACTTGTTTGAAATGCAAACGCGATTTCTCTCTGGAGCCTGTACAGAGTTGTTGCTTTTCATTATGATGTTATTACTGCACAACAGGCCCTTCTGTGTGGAGGGAGCATCTAGAGGGGTCTGAGGCCTGAATGGGCGGGTGCCCCAATTAGCAAACAAAGTTTCTAGAACACTGTGTTTAAGCCAGGTGCGCCCGTCAGCGGGCTTTCTGGGACTGGCACTTATGCACATGAGGATCAAACCTGACACTACGCTTGGCAGCTTGACTGAAATCATTTTAAAATAAGCACGAACTGTTCTTAGTGATTTTCCCCATCGGGTAGCCGCGAGTTGGCTGGTCTTCCTCATCTGTGATGTGCATGCAGTTTTCTGTCTTGGGGGAAGAAGGGAGGAAAATACATACAAAAGGTTTTTAGCCTTTGTATGGATAAAACATGTCTCCATTCACTTATCCACACTCGTCCAGAGTAGAATCTAGAAACCTTAGTTTTTCATGAACCTCTATTAGTATTAAGTTTTATGTGGTTTTGGAATAATTTTTCTTAAATTGATTTGTAAAGAAATAGACTATCCCTGCTTAGGCTAATAGACTTTGATTTATGTTCTCTTAAATAGCTTCATTTTATATATTGATGTGTGCATGTGTGTGTCTGGTAGCCTACAATGAAAAAAATACAAAATTTGTGAAAAATCATTTGCTCTCCAGGCCAGCGTTCTGCTGTGAGGAGACCTGGGCTTGATCGCCTGTGTTTGGCGCTGTGAGCTCGAGTGTGTGTGCTCTGGCCTGTGCCACCGTGGTAACCTCTGGCCAGTGGTGTACGGGGTGTCCTGGAAGGAGGCTGTCCGTTACCTCAAGCTTGATTGTAGAAGACAAGGAGCAGGATAGCTGGAAGGACATTGCAAAGTGAGGGGAAATTAGAAGACTCTTGTCATGTCTCTTCATTAGGCAGGAAGCAGAGATGTCCTGGGAAGAAGGGGGAGCCCACGAGCATGTTTTATTAACAGTTAATTCAGGAAAATTAATGCTAATTTATTCTCCATACACACCATGCAATTTGTTAGAAAAGTAAAAGAATAGTTTGAAATTCTTTGGTCAGTTGATAGATTCCCATGTTAGGGGCATAGCAGTGAAACTCAACATTAAGCAGACAAATGCCCAGGCCCACAGGCTACATAAATGCTGAATAAAACCGGCTCCACAATGGACGCCTGAAAGCGAGGGGGAGAAGCCTAATGAATGATTGAATGTGACCTTAGCACAGTCCCTGGAGTGTTGCTGAAAGATCATTCATTTCCAGCTTGGATGTCAGGATGGGCTCCAGGAGCCAGAAAAAAGAGCTTGAGTCAGTACATACCGAGTTTTAAAATCTTTACACCCAGTGCCTTAGCCTGGTCCTGAGAAGCTCCCAGACTGAATGCTGAGCTGTCTCCGTGTGGCCCTGCAGCGTGGCCCAGGAGACCCAAGTAAAGAGGGAGGAGAATTCCCAAGACACCAGTGCACCGATCGGCTGCTGTTACAGAGGTGAACTCGAGAAACGGGGCGCTAGAGGCTGGCAGCCGGTGCCTGTGTCCTGCTGACACCGTTGTCAGACAGACAGACTGCCCCCGTCCACTGTGTCTTAAAGCGTTTGCAAGTTGCTGGCCTCGCTGGTGAGAGGACAATATAAAAAACAGAACCTGTTTTCCTCACCTGAAGACACTGTTTTCTGCCACATTTTTAAGGACACACTGTCATTGCGGCAGCAGGGAGTACGGGTCGGTAGGTGGCCTTCACTGCGCACAGTCAGGAGCTTTCTCAGAAAGCCAGTCTAGTGCATGTTTTCCAGACGCCTGGAAGTGTACATTCGCGCCAGCAGTTAGTGTGTCCCGGGGGTTGTCCGAGGAGCGTAGGCTGGTTGCACAGGGAGACCGCGAGCGGGACTCATCGCTCGTCATCAGCGTCCTTCCGGATGAAGCATGATTGTCACCGGCGAGGGTGGCAGGACGGGGGCCCTGTTGGACGGCTGGTCCCCGCTCTCGCCTCCCCGCTCCAGAGACGGGGTGGTCGGGAGGTGGCGGCTAAAGGTAGAAGAGGGGGTGCTGCCGGCTCTCTGTTCCTCCAGCCCCTCCTCTCCCATGAAAATGTCAGCCCTTTGTTCCCATCTAATTTTAGTACATCCTGGCTAAAAAAATGAGAGAGTGAAACACGTTAAGATGATTTCCAACCCTGGGACTCGGGGGCGGGGAGGCAGCTTGCACTCCGGATCCGGCCGCCCTTCTGCAGCAGCCTCGGCCCCGTGCTGCTGGTTTGGGTAATGAAATAAATTTAGATGCACCGAAGGAGCGATAATTAGGTTTTCCTGCCATGTCCTCAGCAAGCAGCCTCGCCAGAATCTGAATGGGGAAAATCATAATATGGTGTTTAATAAAATAAACGCTGGGTTGAAGAGCTGTGTGCGAGTTCAGGAAGAAAGGCCTGGACTTGTGTGTGAAAACTACACGTGTATTTGTAAGTAGAACCTTTGAGGTCTGTGATCCACTGCGACTGTTCCTATGCTGCTGCTTTTTTTTTTTTTTTTTTTTTAATGAGAATGATATTTGTTGATTTTTGAGGAGCAGTCATAGCAGGTCTAAAAGGGAAGCTCTGGTTCCGTGAAGAGGGCCAGTTGGGTCAAATCATTGATAATATGCTTTGTTCAAGACAGAGGACAGAATTCCATAGGGCTTTGTAGTTGCAAGGGCCAGTTGTTGTAGGTGTGTTAATTTTTTTAAATCCTCACCGGAGGATGTGTTTTTATTGACTTTAGAGAGAGGAAGGAGGAGAGAGTCAGAGAGATCGATGTGAGAGAGAAACATTGGTTGCCTTCCACATGTGCCCCGATGGGGGACGGAACCCACAACCCAGGTATGTGCCCTTACCAAGAATTGAACTGGCAACCTTTTGGTGTACAGGACAACACTCCAACCAGCTGAGCCACCCAGCAGGGCTGTTGCGGTTACTATTTTAATTAAAAAACAACTGGATTAAATAAGGGGAATTCGTACTCTGGGCCTCACCATGGAATAAGCTGCCTTTTTCAAAGGTTTGTTCGTTTGGTGAGCTGAGGGTTCTTCTGGGAATCTCTGGATGATAAAGACTATATACAGCCAAAATTAAGAGAGATCATTTTGTTACTAAGTCCATTTGACTAATTTAATTTTCAA